CCCCTCAAACCCCCTATGGGGCCCATGTCCCCCCTTGGACCCTCCGTGGGGCCACCGTCCCTCTCAGACCCCCTCTGGGGCCCATATCCCCCCTCAGATCCCAAATGGGGCCCATGTGCCTCCTTAGAACCCCAGTGGGGCCCACGTCCCCCCTCAGACCCCCTAACCTTTACTGCAGTGACCACTTCCTGTCATGGACCTGCCACCCTGGGGATGTGCAGGTTACGGGTATGTGGGGGTTTTGGGGACATGGGGGTGGGTTATGGGGACGTGGGGGTTATGGGGACATGGCGGTGGGTTATGGGGATGTGGGGGATATGGGGCAAATCCCAAGAGGCAAATCCCCCCCACCCCATTCTCTCCCGCAGGATGAAGGAGTGGTGGGTGCAGGTGGGGCTCCTGAGTGTGCCCCTTCTCGCCGTCTACCTGCACATCCCACCCCCCAAGCTCTCCCCGGCTCTCCTCTCCTGGAGGTCCTCCGGAGGCTACTTCACCTACAAGGATCAGAACATCTTCTACAGAGGTGACGAGGCCATGCCGAGCCCTGGGGACACCTCATCCATCCCAGTGGGGAGCAGGGCTGGGGGCTCTTCTCCCCTCGGTGGCCCCAGGGATGTCCTCAAGGCCAGGCAGGGAGATGGCAAATCCCTCCCAAAATGTAATGGCTTTAAGGGGAGCTGCTGCGTGGATCCAGGCGCAGTGTGGCTGTTCGTTATCAAAACATTTTAATTGGGTGAAGCCATGAAGGTTGGTTCTTGTGCAGCAGCGGCAATACCAATCCCAAGAGCCTCTGGCGGGTCACAGCAAGGAAAAGATACCAAAAAACCTTTTTGCTGGAGTGGTTGTCACCCATCGTAGCAACTTAGGGGCAGCTACAATTAAATTGTGCTAAATAAAACCCTGGTTTGCGTCAAGTAGCCCGTGCTGGTGGCCCTGGTGGCTCGTCTGGCTGGGTTTCCAAAGCCACTCTGGCACCAGGAGGCTGTGGTGCGAGTCAAACCCATGCTTGGTTTTGGGGACATGGGGGGAGAGGTAACGCCATGCTGCTGGTTGGGCTCCCAGCGGGGCGAACGGCTACGCCTGTCTTACAGGGGAGGAAATTGGGGCGGGGGGGAAAGCTGACCCTGAGGTGCCCTGTTCCCTCCCCAGATTCGACCGGCGCCGTCGGCAGCTCCGACATCGTCGTCCTCCTGCACGGCTTCCCAACGTCCAGCTACGACTGGTGCAAGGTGAGGGGAGCGAGTGCACGGCGGGTTGGATGCCGACAGCAAACCCTGCGGTTTCTCCCTCCCGGGGACGAGCCGACGGACATGGGTGGTGGCTCAGCGCAGGGTGGGCAATGCTCCGGAGGAGTTTCTGCTGTGGGTACCACCGGGCTCCGGGATATCAGCCCTCTTCCTCTCCCGTCACCTTGCAGAGGAGCCAAGCTCTTTTCACATCGCCCTTTCCCACATTCCAGCCCAAGGCAGGAGGAAAAGACCCACAACTAATTCTTGGTGGTTTTGGGGGATGGTCTTGCTGTTTATTGGGAAATTTCAACCTCCTGCAGTTTTCTTGGAGCTGGAAGGTGCTGTGTGGGGGAGCGGAGGGGAGCGTGGCCATCCGCGGCTGCGCATCGCCGCAGACATTTCCTCTCTCCGCTCCCATCAGCCGTATTTTTAATGCATTTCTCTTCCAGATCTGGGAAGGGCTGACCCAGCGGTTTCACCGAGTGATTGCTCTGGATTTTGTAGGATTCGGTTTCAGCGACAAGCCTGTAAGTAGCCTGGGAAGAGGATTTTTGCAGTTGCTTTTGGCCCAGAGGTTGTTCTGCCATGCCAGGATCACCAGAAAATTGGCGTTTGCAGTCCAGTTTCTTCTCCCATTTACATCTGGAAAAGGAGTAAGACATTATAATAGCGGGAGGGATGGGGAAAGTTGTGTAGTGATCGGCTCTGTCACCGTCTTCTCTTTACTTGGGTTTGACGTGACTCCAAAGCACACCTTGACCCCTTTGGGGCATGAGCAGCGCTCCCGTTGGCTTGTGGATGTAGCTGCTGACCGAGGACATCCCCACTGTCCGGGGTCACAAACCACTGGTCTCCACCCCATATACCTCCATTTGGGTGTTTATTCTGGAGTTTGTGGGCTCATAGTGGGTCAGGCTCTCACTGCAGCTCCTCTCCCGCTTTGCTTTGCAGAGGCCCCACCACTACTCCATCTTTGAGCAAGCCAGCATTGTCGAAGGGCTGGTGCGTCACCTCGGCCTCCGCCACCAAAGGATTAATCTCCTGTCCCACGATTATGGCGATACGGTCGCACAGGAGCTCCTCCACAGGTCACTGCAACCACTGATCCTCTCGCTGCTCTTTGTTGTCCCCGTCAAGATGATTTCCAGCAGATAAGTGGAAGGACGTAGCCCAGAACTTCCTTTCCCCTGTGCCTACAGGTGTAACGAAGGCTGGGAGGCCTCAGGGCACATCCATGGTGGGCAGATCTGAGGCTCCCATCCATCAAATCCCAGCTGCTAGGATGTTTAACTTCCCTCCTGAGCTGCTTCTTATCAAGCCAGGGACAGCAGGGGATCTGACACTGTTAATTTGACCTGCTGGTCAGTCACTTCTTGAGGCCTGGGGAGGTCTAGTTGTGTTTCATCTTCTTCTCTTCTGTCCCCCAGGTATGAGCACAATAAAACTGGAAGCATCTTGATCAACAGCCTCTGTTTATCCAACGGAGGTAAGGTTTGCCCGGTGTGGTGGGATAGGTGGGCTGGAAGGAATAGGGATCCATGGGTCGGGACGGCCTTCCCGTCTCCATCACCCAAGGGAAAGCACCACCCGAACCCCAAACAAATTGCAATGAAGGTGCTGTAATTAACCGGGAGCATCAGTCCTTGGGCTGCATTTGCGGTGTCTTTCTTGGCACCACAAAGGGGAAGGACTGGGAGATGCGGAGGAAAACACTCGTAGCATTACAACTCTGTTCTCCGACATCCTTCCAGGGATCTTCCCCGAAACTCACTACCCCCGGTTCATCCAGAAGGTGAGCTGCTACCCCCTCTAGTTGTACTGAATCGCCCCTCAAGCAGAAGTCTGACTCCGTGAGTTTGGGGTTTTACCTGGCTCAGATGCCTGCTGCTTTTCCCGCTTCGGTAATGGCACCTGAGCTGCTCACAGGCATCGTTAGAGGCGGTGGGGAGAGGCAGGGGCTGCCAGGATGCGGCTCGTCTCATCCGAACATCCCAGTTAATCACCCCTTGAAGCGCTGACGTCTCGCTGTTGAGAGCTCACGTACATCTCGGCATTACCAAGGGTCGGGGCTGAGCTGGGAAACTGCTGCGATACGGGGAGCCGGGGGGAAAGCCCTCGGGGGAGGTGGGATTTACCCATCTGTACGATACCGAGTGGTACTGTCTCCTTTTTTCCTTCTGCCCAAGATCCTCAAGGATGGGGGTTTGCTGTCCCCCATCATCACGCGGCTGATGAACTTCTTTTTCTTCTCCAGAGGGTGAGTCGGGTCTCCGTGCTGCTGGGCACAGTCCGTACGGGGGGTTTGGGCCAAGCGGGGAGGGGGCCAACGTAGGAATTAGTGTAGCGGGTATTTGGCAGGTGAGCAGATCCCCCGGCACCCTCCCAGGAGAGATTTGCCCCTGGATTTGAATGACCTCGGTCCTCCAGGCCATTCCCTCTCCAGGTTGGCAAAGTGCTTCAGCCTAATAATAAACCACGCAGCTTTTCACTGTGTGCTGAAATCCTTCTCTCCCACGAGTATTGGACTTGCACGTGTTACAGAGGCAATGAAAACCCTAACCACACTCTGCATACGGTGCGCAATCAGATATATATTTTTATCAGATGTTGCAAACCCTCTTTTTTTTCCAAAAAGCCCTTTAGACTGGCCGCTAAGTCCAACACTGGGTGCCTTTGGGCAACGATTTGCAGTGCTGCGCTTGCACCCACGTTTCACAGTGGAAGCTGGAAGTCCTCGACGGTTTTTTTGCCCTCCCCTAGTTTTTGAGCCGTACGCCAACACGGCTGCTGTCGTGCCGCTCTGAACTCTTTTTTTTTTCCAGGCTCGGGGCAGTCTTCGGGCCCTACACACAGCCTTCGCAGGCAGAGTACTGGGACATGTGGACGGCGGTGCGGACCAACGACGGCAATCTCGTCGTTGACAGGTACGCTGCTGTCAGTTGCTTAGTTTTACACCCACGCCGTCCCTCTGTTTGTAGGCAGAGCCACGCCACGGCTCAGAGGTTACCAGAGCTCAGCCAGGTCCCTGGACATTGGCTCGTCAGAGCCTCCAGCTGCTTCTGTTGGGGTCTGGGACCATCACTGCACCCCAATAAAGAGCTGGGGTGTGATGTAGGAGCAGGGATTCTTGCTGGGATGATGCAAGGCAGGTAAATGAAATCTGGAGTCAGGAGGATCTGAGCCTGCACATGGTGGGAGAAGGACAATGTTGGAGATGGACAATGTGGGGTTTTTTTCCTCTTTGCAAATTAGAGTCTTGAATTTGTGGGGTTTTGTTAACAACTGGAGCTAAATCTGGTTTTCTCCAGACTTTTGGGAGGACCTCAGGCTCGTGGTTGTGAGTTCAGTATCCCCGTTCAGTGGGGCCTGTGTACGTCCTTCTCCCCCAGCGTGCAAACTCCTCTCTCCTCCCGCTGGGGACAATCTCTGGACAAATCACAAAACACAGTAAGGACCAAATAGCTTGGCCTCTTCAAAGGGCACCTGCTAATTAGTTCTTATAACGAGGGATAGTCACCCAAGCCCAGCAATGAATACATGTCTGACACGCTGCCCAGTCCTTTGGCAAGGACTGTCGTGGCAAATTTTTGCAATGTCACCTTTGCTGGCAGCGCAGCCATGATGGGAAGCTCAGTGCCGAAATGTCTCCAGCCCTTTAAATATCACGTGTCAGAGTATCGGTACGTTTATTTAGTGTAGCTTCCCGTCCTTGGAAGACTTTTTATAACCAAACTGACTTGAACCTGCTGTTTAAATTGTGAGCCTCAGCGCCTGAGAACTGTGCTGAAGCAAGGAGTCGCCCCAAATTGCTGGCTGGGGTGACGAGACAGGCCGAGGAGCCTTTAGCAGTTCAGATTTTCACTGTAAGACCTGACCAGTGCAATTTGTCTTCTCCTGCATTCCTCCATGCTCAGTGGTTCAGCACTGACTCCTCTTCTGTGGGGCACTGAAATGGTTTCAGAGCTGCCGCAATGCCCGTGAACCGAGCATGGGAGCGCTCAAGATGGCGCTGCCTCTGCGTTGGCTTTCAGCGGACTCATTTCTGCCCTGACGTTTTGTAGGATCCGATGGCAAACCCGCTGTTTGCCCTGCTGCCCAAGTGAAGCAGCATCGAGTTTGTTAAGGGGCCTTGGGAGTAACTGACCTTTCGGTGCTTGTTTGCTGGCTGCCTGCAGCCCCGTCACTTACTGCACTGCCTGGCACAAGGGTTACAGTGGTTCCCACTGGCATTTGACTGGGAGCAGAGGACCCAAATTTGCTTCCATCTCATCTGGGAAGGATTCAAACTCCATCCTCCTATCTCCCCAGACTATGGGCTGTTTCCCCCTTCCTCAATAAACTTGGGTTATCCTCCAGAAGGATTCTTAGGGCACAGAGCTGGCAGGGGTGAGACCTGGAGTCAGGGTCCCAACCTCATTTGCACTTTTATTTGCTGACAGTCTAAATAAAAAAACCCCACTACCTTAGGCAGTTCGCTAAGCTCGGGGATGGTCAGCAGACCGATTTTGTGTTGCTGCTGCCCCAATGAGGCTGTCTGTGGGAGATGCAGATTCCACCTTGGTCTCATTGCATAGGCCTATATTGCCCTGAGAGCAATTTTCAGGCTGTGCAGCACCTCGAGGCACCGTCCACTGCGTAACAAGAAGTTTCTCTTCAGTATTTTGCAGTACATAAACCAGAGAAAGAAGCACAGAGACCGCTGGGTTGGGGCTTTGATGTCCACCTCTGTCCCGTGTGAGTAGGAATCCGTTTTCTTTGATTTACTGGTTGGGATGTTGGGAATCGCTGCCCCTTAACTGCAGGCACTGGAGCTGGTGCTGGCTCCTTCCATTAATCGCTGGAGCCTCCTGTCATTCTGATGAGGACAACGTGGCTCAAATCCGCTTTGTGCAGGGGGTAGCAAACTTCCCTGCTCCAGTTTAAGGCTCGGTTACAGCAGAGCTGTGAGCTTGCTAAGATAAGAGGAAAAAGAGTTTGTTCCACTGAGCAGAGGCAACTCTCCTTTAGAGGCTGTTTCACAGCCTCTGGTTTCTCCAGCTGCTAACCCAGGGAAGCTGAGGTGCTTTTCAAGCTCAAGAGAAGTTGCAACCACTCAAGGAAAGGTTTGATGTTTGCGGGAGGAGGTTTGGAGGCTGAACTTGACCCCAGGGCAGAGAAGCAAGAGCCCTTTCTGCAGCTGGTTTACTCGGTGCTCCGCTGAAAGCTTCCCAAGCTCCGCGTTAGGGAGGAATGTGTCTGCAAAAGGCCTTGTTGGGCTTGGTTTAGGGATGTCTTTGGGTATAAAAGCTCTGTCTGTGCTTCCCTCTTGCAGTGCATCTAATCTATGGGCCCCTGGACCCTGTGAATCCGCACCCAGAGTTTCTTCAGCTTTACAAGTAAGACAACACCCACCACAAAGTGGGAATACGCAACTGGGGTTTCATTTCGAGGGCGATTTTGTCTCAGACTTTTCCTTCAATTCCCTTTTCATGGACCCTGTTTTTAATTCCCGCCTGTAACCTGCACAGCCAGGTGATTCAGTTAGAGCCTTCTGCAGTTTGGAAATTGCTTCCCCATTTTAGGCATCAGAGTCACACTTCTCAGTCAAATCAATCATGCATTTCAAAACCACATCAGACAGAGGTAAGATTTATTGACTGAGGTAGTCTTCTCCTCCAAACTAAACTGAAGTAAATCCAGCACTTGGAAGAGTGGTCAACTGTAGCTGCTACAGGCTTTTTTGTCCCAAACCCATGTTATGGGCAGAATCCCAACTGTGCAAGAGGGTACTGTCCTCCTCACCGGTAGCATCTGCAGTTCCTGTGCTTAAGCCTTGCTGCATTCTTCCAACAGGAAGGTGCTTCCCATGTCCACGGTGTCTGTGCTGGATGACCACATTAGCCACTATCCACAGCTGGAGGATCCGACAGGCTTCCTGAATGCGTATCTGAACTTCATCAACTCCTTCTGAGCTGCTGCAGCTCAGTTCTCGCTCTCTGTTGGTCAGGCTTTGGGGGCAGGAAGAAACCTTGATTTTATCTCCAGATCCAACACTTTGCACTAACACCCTAATCTTTGGCTGCCAAACTACTGCATTTATGCAGTTAAATCCTTTAAGTACCAGAAAAGATTAGCCTGCAGGGAGGCGTGGACAAAACTGTCAGCCTAAGAGTTACAGGATGCTGACAGTTCTTCCAGCCCTGCGCTCACCTTGCTTCTTGACTGGCCTATCTCTGTATTTAGGGCCAGGAGGGCTCAAGGGAGAACAGGGGCACCTGAGGGGAGGCAGAGCACGTAGAGTCAGTCCAAGAGTCCTTACTTGCCTTCATGGCTAGGCTATGCTGCGTGCCACAGGTAGACACGACCACTAGCAGCCAAGGGTTGATGCATATATTCCCAAGATGGACTTTGGTCTGTTTTTTGAGTTGTGTGCACGCAGTTTAAATGATATGCCTCTGCTAAGTGTTATAATACTTGGCCAGCTTGTCCAGACTGAAGAATTTGAAACTGAGTTTGTCTACACTAAATACAGCAGGAGAGCTGGATCTGTAATCCCCCACAGTACAGGCAATGATGCTCTGCACCCATGAAGGGGTATTTCAACACTGTAGTTATGTCTTCAACAATCTCTTTTTAATGGCCAGTTACCCAAAGGCAAGCTCTAAACCTCAAGTTTTTACCACATCCCTTGTTTCTCTGACTTTCAGTTCAACAAGCAGAGCCACTCACTGACACTACATGCCTGGGACTATCTCAGGAGCTTCCCTGAAGCTGGGCTGTAGCATGCAGTTCTACCAGGGCAGGCTCGTACCTGTTTCACTAGAGCAAGCTGAATATGCAATACTGGCACAAGCAAAAGCCAAGGTGTTCTTCTGAGCAATAGCTATTCCAGCCATCCAGCCACAGGGATCTGGGACAGCTGTTTAAATTAGCATTAAAATAGTATTCCTTCCGTCCTCACCCTGACTCAATAACTAAAGAAACACCAAAATTCATCAGCAGAGAGATGCAGAACTTTCCTCACAAGGAAGTCACCGCAAGGTCCCTCCTTCCCCCTCTCTTCCCAACTTTTGATACAGGATGTTTCACGTCTTTGAGCCCAGGAAAAGGCTGCACTGTTGTTCGGTATTACCTGACATAAAGCTCAGAGAATTGAATATGCCTTGATAGGTGAAGTTTAATCTCTCTCTCTGTACATTGATTTTTCTGTGTGGAACAGAGGAGACAATCATCAAGATACTGTAAATTTGCAGGCTGGCAGACTCTGCAGGTTTTGTGTGGTTTTTAACTGCTTATGTTTGAAATTTAATAGCATCCCTTTAGGAATAAGGGGCTTCTGCTGGGTAAACAGCCATTATGGGCTACTTTTTCTGTACTGAAGCAGACAGAATTAGAACAAGAAATGTCTATTTTATTAACAGTAATTCATATGAATTCCACCACTTGGACCAGTGTTTATTTTGTGTTAATAAAAATCAGTTTTGACAAAAGTCTGATTCCATTTTCTTACCACCTGCATCTTTTATCTTCCCTGCTCTACTGCAAGTGGCCAGAGATGTAATAAGTTAGACGGGAATGTGTAAGTGACAACGAGGGAAGGGACACGGGAAGGGCTCAGTACCAGCCCGCCACTACTGTAACATCATACAAAATATTTACCAAATCAAGAAATAAAAACTACATGCAGGAGGACAGACAGGCTGCTCGATGTCTGATAAATACCCAACCAGTGCTTGCAAAGGAGGTTTCCACCACAGTCGATGCGCTGTAACACTCAGCCTACAGAAGCCAGGATGACATCTGCGGGCGTTTCTTCCTTGCTCCTAACCGTCACCTGCATGGTCACACCATCTCCTAGCGCAAGCCTGGACCTTACCAGCACATCGCAGCCGCCTCTGTATACACCTGGGGACAAAGCAACATTTGAGAGATTAAGTAAGAGAGGCTCCGTGATCTAGTCCTAACCCAGGAGCCAACAACCTGGTGAGTGCAAGACAGATTCAGTCTACGGCCAGTTGCAGAGAGGGGGGAAATGAAAAAAAAAAAAATACCAAAACCCCCAAATCCCCTAAGCTCTTGAGGCCGAGACTGAAGATAACAGATCCTGTCCTAATGAAACAGAGTCAGCAAGCGCTGCTGGAGGACTAGGCTGATTTAAATAGGTAGCAATCAGAAAGCGGGTAGCTGAAGCTCACTTCCAGTTTGAGAAGGCAACACATACTGTAATCCTGTCATGAAGACACAGTCCATTGGCTCAGTGCCCCTGCCTTTAAGAGAGGAACAGTCCTCCTATGCTTCTATTAGAGGGCTTGGAAGTGGCGCTCCGGGAGGCAATTCAGACTGCAGGACGAGCCGTCTCCAGCCCCACTTCAACATCACTATACAGACAGTCCTGGAGTTACCAATTCTGCCTCTGAAATAAATTGAGGTGCATCCCTTCTGTCATGTTCATTGCAGTTTTGCTTTAATAACTGCAATAAAGTTTTGTAGAGCACTTCGACTTCCAGGGATTGCCAAAAACTGTTTGGTGACTGTGGTCAAGGCATACAAGAAGTTGTGGGTACTGCAGGCCAATTCAGGATGTGTCTTTAGTGACAGGAACTTGAAAACAAGGTGGTCCTAGGAACCCCCTTCTGAGATAACCTCAAGCAAGGTTACCCACAGGAAGAATACGTGCACTTGAGAGAGACCCAGCCTAGCCTAAGTACACCCTCAACAGCAGGCTCCAAATCAGCACCAGCTGCATTCAACTCACTGGTTCACTTCAGCTTTTTACAGAGAAAATTCAAAAAGAGCAGAATCTCCTAATCCATTTCCCTTCATTTAGTAAAACAAAACAAAACCCCCCAAATTTTATGTGGGGACATGGAAACATCGAATTCAATAGCATGAATACTTACCAGCTAAGTAGAGCGTGTGAGAATTTTTGTTCTCTGGCACTTTATCTGATCTCTCACAGGGCTGCATGCCCAAAAACTTGATGATGTTATTGACAGCTTCTGCATTCAGAGAATGAATAAGAAAATTACCTCCAGGGTGGTGCCAAGCTTTCTGTGAGAACTAGTTTGCAATTCTCTAAGCACCCATGTGGCTGAACCATTTCCATTCATTATCTTGGTTGCAGCCCCACCAACACACCTACCTTGCCATGTCCCTTCTGCTGTCTTAACAGCCTAGGAATGCACAGCTCCCTTCAACCAGCCTCAAGCAAGAAAGCACTGCCAAGCTTCCACTCACTATAATCCCAACATTGCAACACAAAGCCTTGTTGCTGGGACATCATGTCACATTGGAAGGCACCAAATTCTCCTCCTACCACGCTAAATATATCTCCAGCATGGCAGATTTACCAGGATTACTATGTGGGTCACCAATAAATGGGGAGAGATCATCTCACCGTCAAGGGTTTTAATCGAACTAAGTGCAAAGGTTTCTTCTTTCTCAAAGTCATCTCCCACTTCTTCCCACGCAGCTGCGAAGTTAGGCTTTAAAACCTTCTGAATATGATCAGACACGGTCACCTCCAAATCTTCCAACTGACAGAAAAGCAAGGGAGATTTTCAGCTGCCCATTACAGAAATGATCCTAATCTTAGAAAGGGAAAGAAAGACAAAGAGAGACAGCAGCATTTTGCCACGACAACTCTGGCATGCCTGGTTTTAATTTCAAGAGAAGCACATAATAATAGCATCTAAAAAGCAAAGAGGAAAAATAGTATTTATGGTGGTCATCTGTAAAGCTTAAAAACACTTGCATGAAAACATCAGTGAGACCAAAGGAGAGCAAAAAATAGGGCAATCGCTTTGTAAGTCAAAGCCCATCCTAGCTCTTATTGGGCATCTGAGGACAGAGACTTTCTCAGAATCCAGAAGGAGCCTTTATTTCCTCCAAGCCCAAGAGGCAGGCATTTTCCCGAGATCTGACTTTTCAGTGATTTCAGTGATTTTCAGTATTTCAGTGATTGATAACACGAACGCAATAAACAGAAGTGCAAATGCTTGGGGTGGAGAGAAAGACTGGGCCGCAGTTCTGAAAAAAGACAATGGAAGTTATTTCCTTCTTCCTATCTGTCCCCACAAATTCTATCTAGGGCACTAAAGCTTAACTATTGGCAGAAGCAAGGTTTTGAGGAAAGATCTAGTTACAAGCTGCCATATTTTGGAAATGGTTTTTCAGGCAGGCCTGCTGTTGTCTCCTACCGGCTTCAGATCTGAAAGGAAACCATCAACCCAACGGCCACGTGTATTCAGAATTAGTAACAAAAAACAGTCCTGAACTTACCACATATTCATCATCATAGCCATCTTCTTCTGGCACGCCTGTGTTTGGGTCACAGTCTCGAACAGTGAACTTCATTGTGCAACTGAAAGTACAAGCAACTGGGGAGGAGAAGAAAAGCCTGTACAGATTAGTGCTGCAGTTTCTTTCGCTTGAGCTCTCGCTTCCCAAAAAGGGAGTGGAGAGAATGTGCATTAGCTTTGCCCCAGAAGATGCGACGTGGTCATAGTCAAAGCATTTTTCGACTTCACATAAAATTTCCCCCCAGACTCTAAGATGAAGGCCAAAAGAGGATCTCAAGGGAGGAGTATGCCAGGGCCATAGTGTAACAAGCACAGGGCCACTGCAGAGTGCTGCAGTGCGATCCAGCCAGCATTAGCTACCAGGAGAAACTCTGCAAGGGTTTCTGGCAAGTGGATTATGATCCAAACCCACAGTTCAAGAAATTCAGACTCATTCTGATCATCTCTATTAAAGCGATAACCAAGAAATCCACCCCGCTGATGAGCTGAGTCATGTTAAACCAATTGCAAATCCAATGGAGTTTCTTTTAAGTGTGAATAATAAATGCAAGAAAGGGAAGTTTTATGCCCAAGAAAATCTCTCATTCCTAAATTTCAGTTGTTTCTAATTCTCTAAAGAGAGGAAAAATTGCATTAGCCAGATATGTAGAGGCCCAAACTACCAATCTTT